CAATTAAACCTCTTTCCTTCCTAAATTAATTACCCAGTCTTGGGTATGTCTTTATTAGCAGTATGAAAACAGACTAATACAGCTATCCTAAGATGTGCAGTGATATTTCATGGTGGATTTCCCTAATTAGTCCTATTAAGCAATGTGTCATATACCTGTTGATCATTAGTACACTTTCTGTGGAAAAATGTCTATCCACATCCTTTTGCCCACTTTTATTTCTAGGTTACTTTTTGGTTACTGACTAGCATGGGATTTAAGATATTTGAGGTATTGATCCTTATTGGAATTTATGGTTTGCAAATACTATCTTCCAAACTACAAAGATGCTTTTAACTTTGTTGATTGCTTTCTTTGCTGTACACAAGCTTTACAATCTGATGCAATCCACGTATTTTTGCTTGTATTATACATGTCTTTACTGCCTTATCTAACAAAATCACGCTAAGATCAATGTCATGTGGCTTTCCCTGCTGTTTTCTTCTATTATGATTTGAAGTCTATGTTTATAAATTCCTCAATCTATTTTGAGTTGCTTTTTGTACATAGTGTAAGATAAAAATCTAATTCCATTATTATAAATGTGGATATCCAGTTTTTCCAAAAAAAACTTACTGAAAAAGACTATCCTTTTCCACAGTATTTTCTTGGAAACTTTGTCAAATACCAGCTGACACTACGTATGTGGAGTTTTCTTTCAGGCTTTCTATAAAGTACCATTGGTCTATGTGTCTTTTTACGTACCAATCAGTATCTTACCATTTTCATTACTATTGCTTTATAAACAATGGCCCAGTCTTGTTTAGCTTGCCCAAGATTCATTCAGCTCTTCAGGGTGTCTTTTGATTCCACAAAAATTTTTTACAACACTTATTTGTATCTCTGTGTAAATTCCAATGGCATTTGCACAGAGATACAAATAACTGTTGTAAAAATTTCTGTGCAAATGCCATTGGAATTTGCACAAACTACAAAAAGGTGGGGAAATGTCTACATAACGCTTAATGTAGTATGTACATTATGATAAACACTGACTCTTCCTATCTATGAACATGGAGATCGTGCTATTTATTTTGTCATTTTCAATTTCCTTCACTGTGTTTAGCATATTTCGGGCTATAATCTTTCAGTTTCTTTTGCAGGTAACTCATTATTAACACATACAAATGCTATGATATTTGTGTATTAATTTTGTATCCTGGAGCTTTAATAATTTGGGGTTTTCTTCTTGAAGGTCTAATAATTTTTGCTGGAGGTGTTAATTAAGGTTTTCTTAAATCTACAAGATCATGAATTCTGCAAACCAAGGCATTTTTTTCCTTCTTCTTCTCAATAAGAATTTTTCTATTTCTTTATCATGTCTAACTCCTCTGGCTAGGACTTCTATTACTTGTTGAACAGGAGTGGTAAAAGTGGGCCTCCCTGTTTTGTTCCTGATCTTAATAAAAAAGTTTTCCATTTTCCCCAGTTGAGTATAATGTTAAGTGTAGGTCTGGGTTATAGGGCCTTAATTATGATGAGACACATTCCTTATCTAATTTATTGAGAATATTTATGAGAAGATTTTGAGTTTTTGTCAAATGCTTTTTATCTAGCTAGTCAGATAATCATATAATCCTCTCTGTCTTTCATTATGTTTATGTAGTAAATCACATTGATTAGTTTGTCAATGTTTGAATGATCATTGCATCCTAAAGAAAATTCCCTCTTGATCATGGTATGTTAGTCTTTGAATGTATTAACTGAATTTGGACTGGTAGAAGCTTTTAGTACTTTCATTACTTGTTAATATTTTTGCTGGTATTTTCTTAAGAATTCACACTGATTTTAGCAATTAATGTAATTCATCATAAAAACACAGTAGCAGTAAACCATATGTTATCCAAAAAGCTACAAAACCTATTTAATTGGCTATTGAAAGATTAGATTAAGAAAAAGGAAAACTCAGTAAATTTTAGAAAATGTAAGTATCAGGTGACAGAAGATAATAAAAGGATATGAGAAAACCCAGCTGACAAAGTCTCTCATTTATTGGTTAAAAATTAGGGAAACCAAAATAATCTATATATGTACCACAGAATACTATATTATACATTGTGGCCTATATAGTATATTAGATAAATACTTGTAACATAATTTTTTAAATTAGGAGGACATTCTTATATTGGTAAGTAAGGTAGCACTGAGATAAAGAATTCCACTGAATATATCCACTGACATGGAGTTACCATATGAAAGCACACTATACATTATTCCACTTCTGAGAAGGCTATACGCAGTTTAGACTTCATATCCTCACTCTATTATACTGCCATCTACCACACAAATAACAGATATATTCTAATTTTTAAAGATTCAAATACAAAAATTCTTCAGTAAGAACTGAAGTTTCAAAGTTTTTATATTTGAATCTTTTTACATTAGACTATATTTTATCTAAAATTCATACATTTCTTTCCTTAAAGATTTCAATAAATTTGAGATTATTTCAATATTTTGAACTGTACAAATAATATGAACAGGTAGAAGACATTTAAAATTACTTTCTCCGTATCAGGTAATATGTGTTCCCACCAAAATCTCACCTTGAATTGTGGTTCTCATAATTTCCATGTACCATGGGAGAGACCAGTGGGAGGTATTAATAATTTAATCACGGGAGCAGTTACCCTCATGCTATTTTCAGGGTATCAAGTGAGTTCTCACAAGATGAGAAGGCTTTATAAGAGATTTTCCCCCCCTTTGTTCAGCACTTCTCATTCTTGTCATCATGTAAAGAAGGATGTATTTCTTCCCCTTCTGCCATGATTTTAAGTTTCTGAGGCCTGTCCAGCCATACCGAATTCCAAGTCAATTAAACCTCTTTCCTTTATAAATTATCCAGTATTGAGAATGTCTTTATTAGCAACGTGAGAACAGACTAATACATAAGGCAAGTTTAATGTTAGCATCAAAAATAGTTTCAAAATATTTTACTATCAAGTATAACTTTTACTAGCTCTTCTCATTTATTAGGGTCATAAAAAATTATCTAATTGGGGCCAAGCACAGTGGCTCACACCTATAATCCCAGTACTATGGGGGACTGACACAGGAGGATCAATTCAGACCAGGGGTTTTCAGGCCAGGTTTAAAAACTCAGCAAGACCATATCTCTAATGAAAATGAAAATAAATTGGCTAGGGATAGTGGCACACCTCTATAGTCCTAATTACTTGAGAGGCTGAAGAGAGAGCATGGCTTAAGCCCAGAAGTTCAAGGCTGCAGTAAACTACAATCATCCCCCACAGTGCACTCCAGCCTGAGCAACAAGGGAGACCTATCTCTTGAAAAATAAAATAATAAATTACTTTTCCTTTACTGGAAGACTAAGAAAGTTTTTTAAAAGGGCATAATAAATGGAAAAAATACATACCCAAAACTTGGAATGGCAGGTTAAGAATTTTTATTCATGACACTCATGTAAAAAGATGGGCAATTCTTAAACTGTTTATGCCTAGTGTTCCATTACTGGAATGATAAGCATGTGGTGGTTATTCATATTCTACTGCTCAAGGCCATCACTAAGGTATGACTGCAAAAATTTATAAAATTGCCACTTTCAGCATAAATAGGTCAAAATGAATTTTGTAAAACCAAGTCAACCTCTAGATTAGGTTGACCTGAAGGTTTAGCAACTTTAATTCAGTAAATCTAAGGCCACTGTGTGTGTCTTATGGAGCACAAGGATATGTGAGGCAAAGAAACATGAAGATAATTCTTAAAAACTGCCCATGAAGCTCCTCCATAGCTGAGTTAAAGAACCAGCTGCTTAATGTTCTATATCTGATTGCACCCCATAGTAATGTGAAAAATAGAAAATATCAACATCTTTCCCATCTTGGATATAATCTCACATCAAATCTACTTCTCTGCATCACTATTTTTTACTTGCACTAGAAACATAAGGCTAGACCTCAAAAATTATATATATGTATAATAAGCTTCCCCCCACCCCATGAAATTTTATTTTTTTTTTCTTTAAGACAGGGTCTCACTCTGCCACACAGGCTGGAGTGCAGTATCACAGCACAATGCAGCCTCTGACTCTTCAGGCAAACCTCCAGCTTTGGCCCCTCAAAGCTAGCTTGAACTATAGGCACATGCCACTATATCTGGTTAACTATTAATTGTAAAGACCAGTTTCACTGTATTACCCAGGCTGGTCTCAAGTACATGGACTCAAGAGATACTCCTGCATCATACTCTCAAAATGCTGGAATTAAGACATAAGTCACCATATCCAACATGGTTATTAAATCTCTCTTTATTTCATAACTGAAATTCAAACTGTTCAGCTCCTCATAATATGAAGAATCGCTACCAATTTTTCTAAGTCTACCAACTCCACCACAAACTGTAAATCCGTGTGTTACTATCACTTTAATACTGTAATAAAACTAAATCTGTTATACGAAGCAAAATATTCAAAAATTAATTTGAAATACCTTTAAAAACAGAACAGCCCTGAAGTAGTGGTAACTATTATTTCTAATGGTTTGATGTTTAAAGCCTCAGTCTTAAAGAAAAAGAGAAAACTTCCATAATAATGACTATTATAATCATTCATTAATATTTTAAAAGAAAACTAGACATTACAGAGTTAGTTGAAAGCTTCTTAAATACAGGCATAGAGGCAAATTATATTAAATCAAAGCACTGCATACATAGCAAGTATTACATTTAGAAAATAAAATACAGAGCTTAAGGTAGTTACAGAAACTGCTATATACTTAAATATCAAATAAAAATTTCCAATTCCCTTGTCTTTAACAATTTGATCATTAAACAAAATTTCAAACATATTAGAGTAAAACACAAAATATATGCAGGAGTATAATACCCAGAGCTCAAATTGTCTAACACGTTTATTTCATTTAAATACTGATACATTGAAGTACATTTTATTTCATCTAAAGCACATGACTGTTTTATTCTTGTTCTTAAGTTAAAACACTTACCTGGGTTTCATACAAATGGGCAATATGAAATTGAACTGCAATGGATCACGGGAAAAGATCAGTTACAATACAGTCTAATTTAATGTAATAAAGTTTTTAAAAAGTAGGGATAATATAAAATGTCAGGCATATGCAAATGCTTAAACTATAGAATATATATTTGATGAGGAGTGTAACTTCTGTTTTAAGTTAAAAAATATGCAATTAAACCTAACAAAGATCATGAGTATTCGAAGAAAAGCAATATGAAAAATTAAGTATATTGTAATCAACTTATTTATAATTCTAATAATCATTAAAATCTGTAACAAGCTTAATTATACTTAATAAAAAGTTCTTAATCAGAATATTAAGTAAACACAGGCATTTAAGTTACATATCTCAACACAAGGTATACAAAATTTTACCTTAAAAACATAATATTAACTCTGTAATCAAGGAATGTTTTTCAATGCATACACTTTTTCTTTATATTCAATCTTGTGTTAACCACTTTAAGTTATAGATCAAATACTAGAAACAATATACGGAAAATTAGTTTACTTTCCACTTTCCAGAATTAGATCACTGTTTTTTTAATTAAAAACAAAAATGGTCAAACTGCCTAAAAAGCAAGATATCAAAATAACTTATATATTGAGTCCTAAATAAATTAAAAAATAATATATTTGGAGACTCAAATAAAGACAAAATGTTTGGCTTCTTTCTGAAGCCCTTCTTGATGCCCCATTCCCCATTACCAGGGCACACAACAAAATCACAATGGATAGTTACAAGTCCAATTATTTAAATTTTATAGTTTTTATTCGTCCATGATAAATATCTTTTCTCATTCTGTTTTAGGATGTATCTTTTAAAACCTATCAAAATTATAAACAGAATATTTACATTTTCAAAGAAAATCCCATATCAATTATGAATTTCTGACATTGTTTTGTCTCTCCTTCCTTCTGAATCTTCCCTCCTTGCTTCTCCTCACTTATTTCTGTCACTGTCCTAAAGATAAATTACACCTGGGATGGATGATACAATTACCAATTCCTAGCTCAATTCTTTAAGATTTTGATTTAGTGAACCTGGGTAAATGTCTAGAAAGCAGCCTCTATAATATGTTCCGCAGCTTTTCAGTAAATTCCCCACATCTAACATTGGAAACTAATGCATTCGATAACATAAATTCCTTTCCATATGAGAAAAATTACTCCAAAACTCTGTAATCAATGAAAATCAAAGAAACTAAAAGTTTGTAAAAGTAGACAAACATAAAATGTTAAGTAATCAGCCATAAAGTAAAACTTACAGAAAAAGGTTAATTTCAAGATAATAACCTCTGCCCTCAAAAACAAAAGCAACGAAAGAAAAAATCACACATATACACAAACAACCACTGCAGTTTACACACGTTGAGAGTTCTTTCCACCCCTTTTCAAACAGGGCTTTTCTTACAACTAAAACCCAGGTAATCAAAATATCATGTCTCTGAATTGGTAGAGAGAAACTGGATGATAAGTTAACAAAAGGAAAAAAGCACCAGGTGCAGTGGCTCATGACTGTAGTCCCAGTACTTTGGGAGGCCCTGAGGCCAAGATTTCAAGAACAGCCTGAGCAACGTGGCAAATCCCCTTCCCCACAAAAAAATAAATAAATAAATAAATAAATAAAATAAAAATATTAGCCTGGCACTGCATGCAGCTATAGTTCCAGCTACTTGGGACACTGAAATGGGAGGTTCACTTGAGCCTGGGAGACAGAGGCTGCAGTAGGCCATAGTTGCACCAAATGCACTCAGCCTGGGCAATAGAGTGAGACCCTGCCTCAAAGGGCAAAACAAAACAAAAACAAAAAACAACAAAAAAGACAAAGAGAAAACCAAAGACTATGTATCATATCATACATGTACCCACCAAATAAAAATAATACAAAAAATCAGTGTTAAGTAGCAACCTAATACTAACTGAACTTACAATCTAAATTAACAAATTTAATTAAACAAATTTAAGCTAGAGTCCCAAGTCTCTGACCTCACCATCCCATAAAGTACAGTATCATATTTTGTAGGATAAATATCTCCCTGTTTCATCCATTTTCTTTTTTTTTTTTTTTTTTTAAGACAGTGTCTTGTTTTTTCACCCAGGAGTGCAGTGGTGCAAACTCATCTCACTGCAACCTCCACCTCCTGGGTTCAAATGATTCTCCTACCTCAGCCTCCAGAGTAGCTGGGATTACAAGTGTGCACGACAGTGTCTGGCTAATTTTTTGTAATGTTAGTAGAGATGAGGTTTCAACATGTTGGCCAGGCTGGTTTCAAACTCCTGACCTCAGGTGATCCACTCACCTTGGCCTCAAAAAGCAGTAGGATTACAGGCATGAGCCACTGTGCCCAGTTCAGGTTTCATTCTTATCTATACATTAAAAAGGAGTCTAACTATACAACTAGGTGTGCTCAGTATGGAATCTTTCAATTATAGACTGAAATGGATAAAAAATGGACATAAAATATCTTTAACATTCAAACATTTTTATTAGAAAGTAAAATCACATAATGGAAACTTTCATGTTCTTTTCAAATCTGATTGTTCCCCAAAGTATTAACTATAGTCATTCATCTTCAACAGTTCAAAAAACAGTATTTACTTTTAAAATTACACATTTTTAAATTATTCATAACAGAACCTGAATCTTTTCATTCAGGTTCTGTTTAATATTGGCTTTGAAAACTTTTTACTTTTGCAACATCACAAGTGCACAGAAGAGTTTCAAAAAACAGGCTCATGGTATGTGGAAATCCTAAGATATTAAAAGGTGAAGTAATTTTTAATTTAAAAACATTGAGGCTACAAAGGAAGAAAAACTACCTGGTGTTAAGTAGGTAATCATATTTGTTAGTGCTCTGTGAAATATGATCAGTCATTTCTACAGTTATCAAATAATAATAGTGAATTATGTTTAGGAAAGAAAAATAGTACCCAAATCAACTAAACTCCAGTAACTTAAACCCTCTGAACAGGCACATGCCTCATCATTTCTCAAAAATCAAGGAAAGTAGTACACAAAAGTGTATTCAAAGAAATGATTTCAAATGTCCTATCAATAATATTCTTTGGTCAAAAGTATTTTATTTAAAACTACTTACTTTCAGCACTGGACAAAGTACATGGATTACAGTCAATCAAAGCTAACTGAAAATGCTGTAAGAGAAAAGTAAAACTATTAATGCTGGAATAGAAAAGTAAAAATATTAAATTTACAGTTGCATAAAATGAAGTTTTCTATTTTAGGCTTTTAATGTCTATCATAAAATAACAAAGCTATGCTATATAACAATGCACTACACTCAACCAAATAAAATTACTATAATTCCAAATGTATTGTTGAAATATGTTATCAAGTTATTTCCCTGAGATAGTTAAGAACAGAAGCCATATGAAAGAATTTATTATATCAACTATATTTATATTTTCATTATATTAAAAAACTTCCTATACTTGAATCTTCCAGTAAACAAAATATCAAGGTATAAGATGAGATATGTACTTCAATTCATTTTTTTTTAAATGTGGAAAATCTAATTATATTTTCAGAGGATTATTTCTTATCTTAAGATGAGAACTGAACTTTAGAAATCAAATTAGATAATCTGAGAATTAGCATAAAGAATAAAACATACCTGCTTTCACTGATTCTTCAATGTCACTATACTTCAAAACATTGAAAGCCTGTATTACAACCTACACATACACACCAAGTACCCATTTTTAAATTCACATGTAAAATACAGTTGTTCTTTGCCAATAATTTTTTCATTTTTTGACAAGAGAGGTCAAGAAACTGGACCTCAAGCACCGAAAGCGGCATGCTTTTAAACATATGTAAAACAAGATGCTAAGCATTTTAAATGTATCTAAATTGTGTGTTTAAAATATCTATAGTCATTTACGAAATATTAAAACATTTACAGTTCTACTCTAAATATATCATATAAGCCTATGCAGAGTGCAAACCAACTTCTAATTATCCATCTACCGACAGAATGAATAATTACTAAAAACATATGGTAATTTGATGTCTAAAAACTATGAACTACTTAAAAGGTAATAGGAACAAAATTGTTTTAAATAAAATAACACATACAACTCTTTCAAACATTCTACAAACTATCCCCATAAATATTCAGAGTCTCCACTAATTTTCAAGAATAATCAACCATAACAACAATAAAGAACAAGCTACATTAAAAGTCAACTAGAAAAAAGTCATTATCTACCATATAAGTATTAAAATTGTACTAAAGATACTGACATTTAATGATAAAATGACAGGTAATATACAGAATCAAAACATATGCTCTGGCCAGGTGCGGTGGCTTACGCCTGTAATCCTAGCACTTTGGGAGGCCAAGGTGGGTGGATCACCTGAGGTCGAAGTTCAAGACCAGCCTGGCTATCATGGCAAAACCCCATCTTAAAAAAAAAAAAAGAAAAAGAAAAAAAAAACATACGTTCTTTGTAAAAATAAATTGTATTAAACCAGGTTTAAAAATTAAAAATCAATGTGGGAGTAGAATCACTAAGAGCCTAACTTTGCCTACTTAATTTGAGAACCGTCAGTTAACAAAACAAATTAATGTCTGCTACATGATAATACAATGAAAGAATGAGCACAAACAGCATAATGAGAGTGAACACTGTAGCTACCAGACATACACCTGGCATTTGTGTTACAATATTAAGCTAAATAAATATCTGTATAAAAAGATTAAAATTGGGCCTCTGTCATGTCATATACGAAAGTTAGCTTAAAATGAATGAGACACATAAACTTAACAGATAAAGCTATAAAAGTCTTAGAAAGGTATACAGGAAGAATCTATATGACATTGAATTTAGCATTGATTTTTCTGGACATGGCACCAGGGACAGAGGTAACAAAAAAGGAGATTTACTTTGTTTCATCAAAATTAAAAACTATGTACATTAATGAATCACAATCAAGATACTGAAAAGAAAAAATATTTGCAAATCATAAACCTGATAAGTAATAAAAATACAGAATACAAAATAAGTTATAAAAAGACTCAACAACTCAAAATAGGCAAAGAACTGGAATAGACATCTCAAACACGAATCAAAACCATAATGTGATATCAATTCACTCTCATTAGGATAGCTATTATGAATCGAGGAAATACAAATGAAGAAGTTTTTTTTCTTTTCATTTATTGGCAAAGAGATGAAGAAATTGAACTTCAGACACTGAAAACAGGGACTCAAAGCTCTGTATGCATCAATGTTCAAGGCAGCATTATCACAGGAGTCGAAGTAGAACAACGCTGATATTCACCAGAGATTAAAGGAATAAGAAAATGTGGATTATCTACAGAATAGAATATTATTCAGCCAAATTCAGCCTAAAAGAATGGGAGGTTTCTGCCAAGCCGTTTGAGGTTGCAATGGGGTCAGATCACACCAATGTGCTCCAGCTTTGGTGATGGAGACCTTGTCTAAAAAATTCTGATACATGTCACTCATTGATGAATATCTGAAATATACCAAGTGAAATGAGCCAGATGTAAAAGGACAAAATTGTACGAGTACATTTATATGAGATTTCTATTCGGAGCCAGAAGTACAATAAAGGAACTCCCAGGTATTTGGAGGAAAGGGGAATGACAAAGTATTGATTTATGAGTAGAAAATGTTTGTATGGGATAATACAAAGTTCTGAAAATGAAGAGTGGTAATGGTTTACACTTCATTGTAAATAATGCCACTGAAATGTACACTAAAACGGTTAAAACGATAAATTACATGTTATGTGTATCTTCCCACAATAACAACCAAACAAAAAAGACAAAACCTAAAAAGTATTGAGGCTTCACTTAACTTATGAAGTTATTATTTAACATCATTTTTGGGTTTTTTTGTTTTTTATTTTTGAGATGGAGTCTCACTCTTGTCACCTAGGCTAGAGTACAGTTGCTTGATCTCACCTCACTGCAACCTCCATCTCCCCGGTTCAAGTGATCCTACTGCCTCAGCCTTCCAAGTAGCTGAGATTACAGGCACCCACCACCACGCCCAGCTAATTTTTTGTACTTTTAGTAGAGATGGGATGTCGCTATGTAGGCCAGACTGGTCTTGAGCTTCTGACCTCAGGTGACCAGCCCGCCTTGGCTTCCCAACATGCTGGCTGGCATTAAAGGTGTGAGCCACCTTAACTTCATTTTTTAAGACTTACTACTTGAAACATATTCTGAAATTGGTAAATTATGCATAATACAAATATGCTGTTAATAGTAAATACTTCATTCAAATTAATGAAAGATAATAATATATGAAGGGATTCAGAGTATGCCACCTTAAAATATGCTATTCTGACAAAAAGATTACTTTCAGCCACAGGCAAATCCGAGGAAACAGGCATAATTAAACTTCCTATTCTCCTTTCTACCTGAAAGGACATGAGAATTCCTAATTTGTGAAGACAACTTTATACTCTATACTCGTATAGGCTTAAAGACAGCACAGGAGTAATCTACATAACTTCTTCCAAATATTTACCCTTCCACAATTTGCCTCCCCTATAAACTCCAAGTCCCTTTCCTTTGTCTTGTCACTTCTCTATAAATTTACTGTTCTTTTCCTTATATCCCACAGCAGCCCAAATTTTAATCACTCCTCTGAGTTACTCCCAAAAAGAAAATAAAACTTCAGGAACCCCTAAATTTATGGTGCCAAGAAGGAAGTAAAACCCTGAAAACTGAGTTGCATAGAATGTTTGCAATTCTGCTTCTTATAGTTTCTTAGATAATAGCTCCAGCTCACTGATCTTTTTCCGCAAATAACAAGGAGACGCCAGACATTTCTTCCCCTTCCAGTCACTGATGTGAGATTGTCTCTTTTATCGGCCTAACTCAGACTGGATAGTGCCCAAGACCCCATTACAGTTACATCTTTAGTGTGAAATGCTAAATATACCTTTCCTGAAAGAAAAAGACTACCTCAACAAATCAGCTTTTTTTAAACTATACAGTAAGGCTTACATGAAAAGTTTTGTCTGTATAAGCAACCCAAAACTTCAACACTTTGTAAAACTTTCTTTGGAATCTGTTTGCAGGGACTGTAACTTTGCAGTTTAACAAACTCTACTGAAACATTATGCTGACCTTTTTT